ATGTAGTACATAGTACGACTGTGAAGTATTTGTCTCAAATAAAATAAAACCAGTTATATCAACTAAAATAATTTGTTTTCCCACAAATGAAGCTCAAACCAACTTTTAGTCGCATGTCGGTCATTTTATTGTGAAACTCTAAATCAGTGTGTTTGGTATTTTACCCGTCCTCGGTCCAGCGTCACTCCTTCCGCTGTGGTCGGAGCCCCTGAGGAGACGAGAGTGGAAAAACTTGATGAGACAAACTCTCCTGACCACAGGTCTTTGTTCTGCTCTTATCTTCATTCCACCTGCGACAGTGAAGTTTCCCCAGCAGCGTCATTAAAGGCTCATTCTGCAAGTTTCTGATAACACGGCGGCGACACACGGTAAATACACAACTCTACTTCCTGCACCAACGCAATCTGTGTCCAAGCCTTTGTACTGCATCTTTTATCACAGGTTTAAAAGCACAACAGGGTATTTGAAATGTACAACAGGGTATTTGAAATGTACAACAGGGTATTTGAAATGTACAACAGGGTATTTGAAATGTACAACAGGGTATTTGAAATGTGTAACAGTGGTTTGCACGTCAGTGTGAGAAGACGCCGGCCGGGTCAGTACCGTAACTGCGTCCGGCGATGGTGCACTTCTTGAACTGCATGACGTTCTGTGTCAGAGTTCCCGTCTTGTCGGAGAAGATGTACTCGATCTGACCGAGCTGCTCGTTCAGGGTGGTGGTTCGAGCCTGCACAGGAACCACAACGGATTTAATGAGAGTTCAGATTTTTTTGTCTGATTACATTTCTCTCTGTATATTTTATTAATACAGGTTTTTACCTCATTACTATTATTGTTCTGTCTTTACGACTTAATTACTTGATGTATTTCCCAGATTCATCTTTTACAAAGGAGCTTCCCAGCAAAGGTTTTTCACACAATGTCACAATTGTGTGAAAATAAAAATCTTCAATTTGACTAAACAGCAACTCAAGGTTCAGAATTACAGCAGCACGTCGTCGTCTCACTCGTTTGTCATGACACATTACACAAAGCTTGTAATTGGATTTTTAATTGAAGTTAAAAAAATTACAAACAAGTTTTCTTTTGCTTTGAGTTCTGAGACGTTCATTAAAAAAACATTGTTATTCATGATTTGTGTGGATTTTCCTGGTTTTAACAACAATTAATTATCTGTTGTCGGTTATTTCATTATATTAACACGTCACAGAATGTTGTTGACAGTGAAAATAAAACGTGACCTCAGTGGTGACGCACCTTAGCTGGAGTGTCCTTCTCTGAGAAATACATCTGCAGGTCCCAGTTGATGAATTTACTCTGACCCAGACGAATCACCTCCACACTGAACACAGAGCAAACACACAGCACCAGTTATTCTGACCGTGTCTTACTGGAGGCGAAGCTCCTGCTGAATCTCACAACATCTTTGTATCGTTGATTGTTGAAAACCGAGATGAGTGTTTTGTTTTTTTTTACCGACCTGACGTAAAGAGAGATGGGCACCATGGTGTTGAGGACGATGATGTAACCCCAGAAGCTGAGGAATCCTCGGTGGGAGGCGCTCTGGTCCTTTCCGTCGTACAGGTACCACGCGTTCATGCCGATCTCCTCGTACCAGAAGCTGTGGCCGATGGCGAGACCTGCCGCAGCCAGGATCAGCAGCGCGAAGATCTACAGGGTGCACACACACACACACACACGCTGAAATAAATCTTTATATTTTTTAAATGGAGATCGAGGATATAGAAATACTATGATATAAACAAATAAACAATACGAATCAATACCGACGTGTGTAACCTTAATGACACTGAACCACTGCCGGTTAACTCACTGTATAAACCATGTAGTTCATCAGCTCGTCGATCTTCGTTCTCTTGAACCTCGTCTTTCCTCCGTTCCTCATGATTTTAGTGTCGCCGCCTTCAGCGACAAACAGAACAGTGGAAACACTAATTATCTGTAGTCACATTCGGTTCCAGTGAGAAGTTAATGTTGTTTCGTTTCCACAATATTAGATGAATCAGTCGAACACGACGTCCTCAGTTGACTCGTTTCATCGACAAACCAAAACGAACTTATTAAATATTAAAACCAAACTAAACACACACACACACAGACACACACACAGACACACACCTGCGAAGATGACCAGGCCGTGACACTCCTCCGTGTTTCGGAGCTTGCAGCCGCGGAGCAGCATGTTGTCCAGGTCCAGTGGGTAACGCTCGCTCTGCCACAGCATCGTCCCGATGAACTTGTCCAGGCGGTTGTTCGGCTCCTCGCACTCGATCAGACCTACGACGGGGACAGCAACAACACGGAGGTGGTCAAAGAGTAAGACGAGGGTTCATCCTCTGGGAAGCATGAATAAGTGGAGCTACAAGAAATTGAGTTCATGACAGTCTGTTCAAAGTGTTGACAGATAAACATCAGTATAAAACGTTCGATACGTTTTAAAGTCCTGGAGTCAAAAGCTATTGAGTTCAACACACATCTAATGCAAACACACTCAATCTTAATTCTTATCTGTGACTACAAACTTTATCAAAATGAACATGAGATAATTATTTTTATTTACTGGCACCGAAAGAAAAAGT